CACTCAGCCTCCATTGCGAAGCGAATGTGTAATACGTTTCACCCATAGCTAAATCTGCCGAGGCAATAATTACCATGTAGACCCCCATGAGAAAGTCGGAAACAGCCAAGTTCAGGATGAGAAAATTGTGCACATATTTGGTACCCTGGCCGACGTTTGTCTTCACCGATGTCAAACACCGCCAAACAACTACACCAAAATTACCAACCAGGGCGCTCAGGCCAAGAAACCACATGGAGACACGAAGGAATGTGTTCTGCATGAGACTTCCACAGTTGAAGAGAGGCGATTGCTGTTCGGTGGTAAAGCAGTTAGCTGGGTCAAATGACTGCAACTTCTTGAATTCGCAACACAAACGGTAGTCATCAAGATACCTATTTAGACGCACACAGTGAACACGAGTAATTTTATTACACCAATCACAAGACTGACCTCTTTATTTCCATTCTACAAGCTGTAGATAATGGTAATGGCAGCCCTACAGCTTTGGAGAAAGCACAATTACTCACAATGTTTGAAGATTGGTGAGCTCCAGGACAGCTGACGGATGGATATTAATGGACTCATCCCTTGCTTTTGCGTCCTGTCCGCGAATCAACACCCTGGAAGAATAGGTAAATAACTTAATACTACCCAACAACAATGCCCAACTCTGAAAGAAAAATGAAAAGCGTGCATATCGTCAGTAATCAGGAACAGATCCAAAAAAAAAAAAGAACCGAGTTGGTGTCAAAACTAACATCCCTATCATTGATAGAGACAAATAACAAGGGTGTTAACTTTAGACCACGGGCAATCCACAAGAAACATACAGTGGATCATATTTACAAAATTTGGAGTTCCTGCAGTCCTCTGAATGCAAATTCCTCGATACTTGTCAAGGGAACGTCTTTTATGACACTGTAACAATCAGAAGAAGACCAAGCAAAGTGTAATTTCGGTGATCTTTCTACCTGTTGTCTGGTAAATTCAATTGTGGTTCCTCCTATACGGTAGTAATGAGAGGCACCTGTACTCAGTGCGTAGTAATAAAGTATATAATAAAGAGTCAACGAATTAGTGGAATTATGGGTAGAGGTTAAAACGTTGGCCTTCATTGGCTTTTAAGTATGAAGGAAAAAAGACCTTAAAAGTCAAAGGATGAACCCTGACGAGCCTTGAAATTTTTATACTCATTTGCAAAAAAAAAGCTGTTGTATCTGTTCATATTTGGTGTTCCTGTCATTCATCTTTTTATTTTTTTGGACACAAACACAAAGTCACAATAACATTTTAGGGGAACTCAGATCGCTTACAAAAGGCTTGTATTGTGCCAATAACCGTTTGAAAAAAGAAACCCACAGCAGGCCAGCCAGTTGGGCAGCCACCATTTAGCAAACCACAACCATCTGCTACTTTCCATCGTATCCTTGGCCAAAAAAAAACCAGCCCAGTGTACTCTCATGCAATCGAAAGAAATAACAAAATTGACAGCACTTACATTCCTTGAAGCATGTCGAGTCCTTTGAAGGCGTCATTTGTTAAAGTGGTTAAATTATCCTGCGAGATATTCCTGTTCAAAGATATTACACAAAATCGGCACCATTGTATATCCCAACTCGAACCGACTAACCAAACCACTGTTGATATTAAAGCTTTCATAGCAAAAAGTCGACGCGGGAAGCAATTATTGTGTATTGCTGCAACAGCATTATGTTTGGATCGTGGGAACAAAATTTGGAAAGCAAGGCCGATTGAGCTTGGTGCGTGGAGTACACGTAATGCATTAATGACAGGTTTTCTCAATTTGGTTGCATATGAAAACAAGATTACTTATAAAGGTTATTCCGGCAATTTTTTAACACTGAAGTTGTTTTCCTCTCTGAGAAAAACGGTCAGTTCAGCGTCTTTTTGATTTGTATGCCTTACTAAATTTGGCTTAGCACCTATACCACATAATACAATAATAAACTGGTATTTTGCGGTACAAGCCTTGTTTAACCGTGACGGGGTATAGTCAAATCGGGTGACCACTTATTGTTGTTAAATATGTTGCAGTATAAAATATCCTAGTATCATAGAATAAAAGAGAATAACTATGTCTTTGGTCGTTCTTTAATAAACATCCAGTCAGGAGAATGGACGCCAATAATGGTCCACGTCGGTAGCTAAAGACACCATTAGAGCGTCCGTTCTCTGTATCAGACGGTCAATTTAAAAAGAAAAGGCCGGCCCTCTCTCCAGTTGTCATAAACAATTCCCTTTTATGGAGATTTGACACGTACTACGTAATTCATTAACACCCGATCCGACTATCCCAACACCAATGCTAATATATTATCGTATGACGCAATACAGTAGGCAAACTTATAAGTGAGGCTTTTTTTCGTGACGCTGACTGGTGTCACTTACCAGTTTGCCTAATATATTGCATCATACGATAATACATTAGAATCACAGTTCTTGTGGGCTATTTTGCTGCGCAGGCCTCACTTATAAGTAGCAGTGGGCAGTCAGATCGGGTGCCATTAAATCATTATCCATTCTCCTGCGGTGGTCTTAATCAACGTTTAACACCAGCGAGGCACATAAACACATATTTGTTCCATATATAAGTAACTAATGTGAGTCAGACAGCCAAACAAGTTTTAAAAAACATAACTTCCACAGTCTTCCCCAATTTTGCTTTTCTTACCCCTTTACGGTATACGTTAGAGGTACGTGCCTCCGCGAGCCCATGCTTTATGAATCGTTAAGTACAAGCCACGGAACGGCTCTTGATCAATATTAATCGCTCTTCTATTTTTTCAAAACCACAGGTCATTCATTTAGGACTCTGCCAAACCAAAAGGATGTAGGATTTTTGTTGACATTGAAGCCCTGAGAGCGGTTTTAAGCGTAGTAAGACGTTTGGTGTTTGCTTGATACGTGTACAGAAGCTACCATCAGGTTTGTAGCCATTGAACTCCACTGCCCAGTTACTACACAGCGTCCGCCACGTATTATTCATTGCAAACGTGTTTTGCTGTGTGTATCGCATTTGTAAACGGTATTACGCAATCGGATAAAGTTCAAACCCATTAAGGTCAGTTAATGGCACTGAAGTAACTAGATTGTCATGTTGCATGCCAAACCTACAGCCAAAGGAGTTCGCTCAACCCATCGAATGACAGCGTTTGGATGTCTCGTATGCCATTGTTGGTGAGGAACCTGCAAAACGAAAACAAAAATAATAATTAGGTTTAAAGAAACGAACTCCTTGAGAAAGCTGTGGATATTAGAGACAGTTGTTTTTTTTAACATGTTGTAGGCCAGAATGTGCACTCAATAAGTGCATTCATTGCATAATGTTTGTTTTACTGTCCTTTTTCTCCTTTCATGATGGATGCTAGTAATCATATACAGATCTGGCTTACTTATGCATTCTTTAAAAATTGTAGCACGCCATTAGCAGATCTAGCGTTTATAAAATGGGGGGGGGCATTTTGCGGTTTTGAAAGGGAAATGGGGTGCGTCTGATATATTTTTTTAAGAAAAAAAATCTTCGAAGTAATTGAATAATCAATATAGAGGGCCAAAGAAAGAAATGGAAAAAAGTAAAATGAAGAAGTATCTCCCAATCTTCATAATGGAAAAATCGACAAATGGGTGGAGGGGATGACTTGGCTGCGCTGAATCTGATAATGCCTGTTCAAAATCCTCTTCTAGGATCAATAGCCAGTTCTAGACCGTGCCCAAAGAGTCGAGATCCTGTTCTGGAACTGTCTCAAGAATTCAAGAGCCTGTTCTAGACCGTGTCCCATGAGTTTAAATACCTGTTCTGGACCGTGCTTCAACACTTCTAATGCCTACTATAGACCATGCCTCAAAAAATCAAGAGCCTTCTCTAGACCATGCCTCAAAAGATCAAAGGCCTGTTCTAGACCGTGCCTTTAGAGTTTAAGAATTCGTTCTTGACCGTACCTCAAGAGTTCTGGGGAATGTTCTAGACCGTGCCCAAAGAGATCGAAAGTCTGTTCTGGACCGTGCCTCAAGAGATCCAGAGCCTATTCTAGGCCGTGCCTCAAAACTTCAAATGCCAAATGTAGACCAGCCTCAAAAGTTCAAGACCCTTTTCTAGACTATGCCTCAAAAGATCAAAGGCCTGTTCTAGACCGTGCCTCAAAAGTTTAAGAATCTGTTCTTGACTGGGCTGTAAGAGTTCACAAGACCGTTATAGACTGTGCCTCGTGAGTTTAAGACATGTTTTATGCCATGTCCCCAGAGTTCAAGAGCCTGTTCTAGACCGTGCCTAAAACGATCAAAAGCCTATTCTAGACAATGCCTCAAAAGTTCAAGAGCTTGTTCCAGACCATGCCTAAAGAGTTCTGGAGCCTGTTCTAGACCGTGCCTTGAAAGTTTAAGAACCTTTTCTAGACCGTACCTCGTGCCTTTAGGACAATGTTTTAGACCGTGTCCTTAGAGTTCAGGCCTGTTCAAGACAGTACCTTAAGAGTTTACGAGCCTGTTCTAGACCGTTCATCGACAGTTAAATAACAAGTTCTAGACCGTGCTTCAAAAGTTCAGAAGCTTGTTCTATAACATGCTTAAAGAGTTTAAGATTCTGTTCTTGACCGTTTTTCAAGGGTTCAAGAGACTGTTCTAGACCATGCCCAAAGAGATCAAAAGCGTGTTCTGGACCGTGTCTCAAGAGATCAAGAGCTTTGTCCAGAAAATGTCATGAAAGTTCAAAGGCCTGTTCTAGACCGTGCCCAAAGATTTTAAGAATCTGTTCTTGACCGTACCAGAAGAGTTGAAGAGCCTGTTCTAGACTGTGCTTTAAAGGTTTAAGAGCCTGATCTTGAACGTGCGGAGAGAGTTTTAAAAAAGTTCTAACCGGATTTCAATACTTCAAGAACCTGTTCTAGACCACGTGGCACTAATTAAAGAAATTGTTTTGACCGTGACCAAGTAGCTCAAGAGCCTGCCTCAAAACCATGCCTAAAGAGTTGAAATGCATGTTTGAGACCGTGTCTTGAGGTTTTAAGAGTCGGGTCCCTCCGAAGGTTTATCTGTGTACGTTTGCACAAGCGCTTACAACACGCGGAACGATACTTGCGACACTCCAGCATCACAAGCATTGGCTTTTTGCACTAAGTGAAGTTGTTTGTACATTTACGTGATTTTCCCTTCAGGCCTCTCAAACAAGCCGTTTACAGACAAATAACTCTCTGACTTACAGGGATTGAAGCTTCAGGAATCGTTTCAAAAGGCCTTGGTCCAATTTTTTGACAGAGCCACCAGTAAGTTCTCTGAAACGATTAATAAAACTTGCAGTCAGAGATATATAAGCGCTATGACACCAACACGTAAAGATATCCCTAGTTACAGGTTGAAATGGGAGCTGTTTGTCACATTGATTATACTACACATGCAACAAATTTTGGCCTATTCTAACAGTTGTTCTGCGATCATGTCACAGATGCACTTACAGCACATTCGTAATAGCTGCCATGTTATCAATTGTATCCGCTGTCCATCCCGATTGACATCTAACATAGAGGGCGTCATTATTATAGTAGCACGTACACTCACTTGGACAACGGTTCACATCTGAAATGGACAGTTTGAGGTAAAACGGTAATTAGCTTGAGTGTTCATAAGCATTCATTAGTAACGATTTTAGATGTTTCGCCAGCAAAAAAATTCAAATCAATAATGGCTATTGACTGGTCAAAAGAAAGTTGTCCGACATTGTTCGAAAAAATTAGTCATATAGTAAAAAAAAATTGAAACATTATTCCGAAATTTTTGTTTAGAGCCTTCACACCAGAGAGGGTCCAAGCATGGCACGGATAAATTGATTTGAAAATGAAGAACTACAGAGTTGCAGAGCAAAGTCTCAAACGTAACTGATAGAGAACCTCTGTTTTTCTCTGGGTTAACTGAGGAAGTATGTCTGGCTCTGCAAAAACTGGCCCTTCAGCCTATGTGTAACAAATTGATTTTAATAAGGAGTAAATTTGTGTATTTTTGACCTCTGTTGCAAATTCTGTTTTCGAGATACGGTAAAATTTAGAATTTATCTCTGACAGATGTAGGCAATGGTCTGTTACATACAGAGGCGTAGCATAACTAATGGCCCTTTTTGTAGAGTGGGTCACAAATAGATATTTTTTTCAGAACAAAAACTGAAAAGCTAGCACGGAACTTTTCAGAGCTTTAATTCCATACCACAATTCCTTTCGTCTTCGCCGAGCAAGCAGTGCTTGGTGCCATCACAGACTTCCATCCACAGAATACATTGTTTGCTTCCTCGGCACTGGAAAAACCCAGGACAGCTAATATTGTCTGGACAGGAACGCGACAAAAATATATAATTGACGAAAGTGTTCTTCAAAAACAAAGATATAAAAATATTTTTTCATATGTGTTCTGTTTTTGGAAAGAAACAATCAAACAAACTTAAGAAAAAGTCATAAAGAAAACAGATCAGGCCACACCATATTGCGGACCTCGTACAATGTGCGAAAAATACTCACAGCACTGCTGTTCATCGAATCCGTAGGGACAGTCCGTAAAGCCATTACAAACAGCTTGGGATGAAATACACAGCGTTGAATTCTCACATTGAAAATCAGGTTCACCTGAACACTCATTCGGCCCTAAAAACCAACACACTAAAAATTAACAGTTTGAACTGTTGCAAAAAAATTACATAATCTGCAGTGGAAATTAAAAGCAGCCGTTAAGAGTAACATTGAGAAATAGCAGTGACTCCCTGTAGCAAAATGTGAGGGCCGATAAAACATTTTACCTAAAAACATAAACATACGAAAGCTAAATCTCACAGTGGTAAGCAACAAGGGAAACCTTTACAGTGAAAAGAATCATGAGGATCCAACTATCCGTGACACCCACCAAATCATAGGCTTTAAAACATACTGCGATATTTAATGAATTTGTTGTCCTCAAGTTTTGAATGTGTGTGCTTTGCAATGGGGGAAATGTGGTACTCACAAATTTCAAATACCTCGACCTTCATTCGGAAACCCCTTCTCCTGAATGACCCATCAGTTTGAAACATAACACGAATGTTTGGACGCATTGAAGTTACTCTCGTAACACTTGTTGTTCCGAACAAGCGCAAACTGTTTGGTGGCCTTTCGGCAATATCCCCGAGCTCCAAGCCCGGCCCCACTACCGTGACGAAGTCAGACGATGTCACAGTTTTGAAATCCAAGATGCTGATGACAATGAATCCATTTGCAGCGCTAAACTCCCAGTGGCAGCTCAGGTAGTTGGGATACCGGTCGGGGTAGTTCGGAGAGGTCAGATTGTAGGGAAGATCCTCCTCCAGATGGATTTCACTCTCTCCACAGAGGTCTAGCGATGATAAAAACAAACAAACAAACAAACAAACAAATAAACAAAACATACGCACTGACATAATTTAGCAGAAGAGGGTTTCCGCGGATGCTTCTGCCCGGAAATGAATCAGATAGGTCTTCGGCCAGAATTTGCTTAAGTGTCAAACTTTGGAAAAAAATGTGTACCACCCAGTAGCCTGGCGGGTATTTTGTCCCCTCAACGGTTTGAATTCAAACATGGGTTTGTTGTTACGGTCATTTTAAGTCCGAGGCTACACATGCCCCGAACAAATTTTAGACGAACTTGGACATCAAAAAATAAAGGCTGACCACAAATGGTCAGGACTTACAGTTAGCTTCAAACAGTGCAGTGCGCATTTCCAGCAAAAACGTTTTGTATGGTCGTGTGTATGGGTCAAGGTGTCCCATTTATGTACGCCATGACACCAACATGTTATGCAATTTCCAACACGATGGCCTACCACGTGCACATGCTTTTCCCGTGCGCAGAGGCGTCTTACACGTGGACATGTACAGTGTACTTTATGTTCGAACATTCTGCGGCCAAGTAAATTGTTCAAGTCCAATGTCCATGCTCCTCTTCGTTCAAGGTGTGTCAAGAGGATGCCTGGATATAATTGGGGGTTCTCAAACGTACGTCACAAATAACGCCATCGATTGTTAGGAATAAAAGTAAAATTAACCACAAGAAAGGAATTTTTTCCATATTTACATTCCCATCGTGTTATTTCCATACTAGTGAATATTTAAACAATTCATTAGCAGTTTGTCCAGGGAGGTTTTCATGAACCCTTTAAAGCTTTTGTACCTTTTAACCATTTTGGTGCTAATGACTACGTTTTAGGAAAAGAACCAACAATTTGCGTTTTTCCCGAACTTTAACTCTGTACCTACCACAATTCGTTTCGTCATCGCCGATTAAGCAGTGCTTAGTTCCATCACAAACTTGATCCCAAAAAATACACTCTCTGGTTTCCCTGCATTGGAAAAACTCGGGGCAACTTATACTATCTGAGATAAAAAATGAAAAATACGATGATTGGTAACAGCATTTCAGAAGAAACGACTAATGACAAGCGGGCGTGGGTTTTTTAGGGGGAAGACCCTCCTTTCAATCTGCTTTCAAAAAGAAACACTTTCATTAAGCTTTTAACCCTTTTGATTCCCAGGGCAATTGTTGACGCTTGCACTAGTGTAAGAATTTTTGATACATTTCATTTTGAGGTAATATATGAAATAGACTAATTGGGCGTGGTACACGTAAATACAGGCACGGACCGGGGGAGGTTTAGGGGGTCGAACACCAGCCCCCCTAAGAAAAAAATGGTGAAAAAATCATAACAAAAAACTAAAATAAGTGCACCAATGTCATTAAAGACATTAAAAATTCCAGCCTAACCCCTTCCCTTGGAAAAATCCTGGATCCACCCCTAAAATAGCGCGTGAATAAAATTTATGAATTCAAGCTTTTCTACATTAAAGAGTGACTTGATTCATGGCTTGAGAAATTGAAGAAATATTGCACTGGACCTCAGAACTGGACTAAGGGCTTTCAATAACGAAAAAGTTACACAGTTTGGTCCAAAAATGGCGCTGTTTTCAACCACAAGAGCATCTTTTATTCTTTGGTTTTTTTATACGAATCCCGAATTGAATAAAGGCTAAAATCGAGGCTCTTGAGGTGTTTTTTTAAGGAAAGGAGAGTCCAACATTTCAACAAGGGAAGCTTTCTCGAGGCACCAGCGGAACGAAGACAAGTCTCCTTTCAAAAACATTTTTCCATAGGAAAGCACAGGGGTACATACGGAAGCGTATAAAAGCCACTTGCACATCATTTTTTTTCAAGCAACTCGCCAAGCTGAGGATCTTGCTGCGGCGTCAAACTTGATATCCCGCCCTGGCAGATATTTCAATAGTTTCATAAGTTCTATTTATCGTGCCATTTTGTACCTGAAATGGGATGCTTTGAGGTTGGTTTTAGATTGCTTTGAATAAAACAAGATGTTATATTTCAAAAAAGCTTGGTTACCAGCACAAATTAAATGAACAAAATCTCATTTTGAGACGTGGCTTTCCATATTTAGGTGGGGGCTGGACTTTTTAAAGGTCTGTCTTTCATTTCCAAGATGCCGAACAAAAGTTATCGGAAGTTGAAAGTTACATTTGAAGTTTCAACAATCGAAATGTATTAATTTAAAGTACTTAAAACGGAGAACAAAATAAGTACTTTTATAAGTTCAACGCAAACATGACGGCTTTGGAAGCAATAAAGCATTTTGAATTACTAAATGCCCTAACCCCCCCCCATTTACGTTCAGTGCACACGAGCGATGCGCTCGTGGAAGTGTTGGCCCAAGATATAAATGTTCAAATATCTCCATCCAATAAACATTTGTCAACAAAATAAGGTCAGAGCCCTTAACAATAGTCCAAGCATACTGTACCTCCCCACACCAGATTAGCTGCAAGATGACTGTGCATGGGTCTGTGATATTTACAACACCTCAAGAAAATTTAAATGCTTACTTTAGAGAGCCTCTCAAAAAGCTAAGGATGACTCGGAACATTTTTGCCAATTTTCTTAAATTATGAATTAACCCAAAGTGTGCCTTTAAGGCATGATGGTAACAACCTGCAAGGTTTAGCACAGTGAAATATCCTCAATTTCCAGAATATTTCGCAAGGGTTTAAGAAGAATAACCATCAGAATATCTAAGTACAACATTTTGAAAGGAATTGGTTTGGCCATCTAACGCCACCTACAGGGGTTTCTCCGTAATACAGACCAATTCAATAGCCTGCTTTTATCATTTCGTTGTCGCTTTCGTAACACTGACTCACAGCATTGCTGTTCATCGAATCCGTAGGGACAGTCCTGAAAACCATTGCAAACAGCGCGAGATGAAATACAGAGCGTTGAATTCTCACACTGGAAGTCAGGCACACCTGAACACTTACTCGGCCCTGCAGAAAAGAACAGCCATTAACGACGGGTGAAAATGAAGAAAAAACATTCTGGGGCAGATGAATGCTTTGCAACCTTTAAAAGATAAAAATAGACGAATGTAATCGTGAGTTCTTGAAAGAAATTCTTGAAAGCTGGCAGAAACTCACATTGTTTTGTCATTAGAACTTGCATTGAGTCTTCTACTCAGGTAATTCCGTCATACGTGTTCATTGCCAAACATTTTGGCAAGTTGCATCTCAGAGTATTGGAAGCAATGTTTGCAGATAGAGAAAACTACAAAGTGAAAGGAATCCTGAGGATTCGATTCTCCATAACATTTACTTATGAGTGATGGACAACAAACATTTTACATGTTTTATCGAAGTTTTGTCCTCGTGTCTCCCAGTTATGAGCATGGACGTAAAGCCTGGGGATGGGGGTATCACCTCCCCACTTTTTAAGGAGGGGGTGGGCTATTGAATAATCCCCTCACACACTTTTTTGTGATGAGCTGAAAATGAAGGTAATTTTGAAGACTTTTCAGGACTTCCCACAGCTTAGAATTTCTTAAAAAATTGAAAACAAATTCAAAAATGCCGTAAATATACCATTCTCATATGAGATTCTACATGAATTTGATCACATTAATCACGCACATTGAACCCCTGCATAGGTAGTGTGTATAGCCCGCCCCCCTCCGCTTTCCAAATTTCCATGACCAGGAAGTCATTCCCCCACCTTTCCGCATCGCCCATTCTCCACCCCGCAATATTTAACACAGATCTACGCCACTGGTTATCGAGATTAATACAGCAAACAACACGTGAACTTACAAGTTTTGAACGCCTCAATCTTCATTCGGAATCCTCTTGTCCGCCTAAACTCGTTGGTTGTCATTGAGATATTGATGATAGGTAGCCTTGAGGTTACCCTCGTAATAGCCGTGG